TAATAAATATTAACACACTCCACGTCTCACATCCCTCACCACATGCACTCCCCTCCCTCCCCATTCCCCATTAGATAAGGGCTACCCCCTTTATATCTCCATCCCCCTATACCATCCCCCCGTCACTAGGAGTTAGGCTCTTTTCCTCCTCCCCTTCCCACCACCTCTCCCCCTCCCTTGGGTTTTTAAGATACAATGGTTATGTCAATGATTAACACCGAGTTGATGTACAACAATCAAAAACCACAATAAAAATTATCTTAAAAAAAAAAGGAAAGGCCACAGACATTTCCTTGCCTTTCGAGTTGCAGGCCAAACCTAGTTTCAACGTCCTTCCATTCATCCTCGTGACGGCTCCAAGAACCTTCACAAAATGTATGTTGGTAGAAACCGCAAACCTCAGAAGGCAGAAAATCTGGGCTTTTCTGTACCTGGACGATTGGTTTCTAGCAGCGCAGTCGCCGGTGATTCTGAGGGCCCAGATACAATAAAACCCTCTCCCTCCTGGAAAGCCTCAGCCTGCAATTAAATACCGAGAAATCACACTTGACGCCAACGACCACCATAAAGTTCATCGACGCCATGTTTGATTTGCTGACCCAGTCGGTGTACCTTCCCGAAGCAAGGTTCTGAGCACTCCATCTTGAAGCTCGTCACTGCAGACAAGCCCGCACGGTAACGACCAAGTGTGTCCAGATCCTTCTGGGGCATATGGCTTCGACAGTAATGGTGACTCCACTGGCAAGACTATGTTTTTGACCTCTCCAAAGATGGTTCCTAGACCACTTCAATCCGGTCAGGGATCACGGCTTGAAACGTCTCTCAATGCCGATGGCCGTGCAGAAATCCCTGAATTGGTGGTTGGTTCGGCAAAATGTTTGCAGCGGAATTCTGTTCCATCCGGAACCCCCATCAATCACCCTCACAATGGATGCATCGATGTTCGCCTGGGGATGCCACACAGGAGAACTCTCCGTGCAAGACCTCTGGTCGCCCGAGGAGAAGTTACACCACATCAATTACTTGGAGCTTTTGGCGATTTTCAAGGCCCTGAAGGCCTTTGCCCCCTTGGTCTTGGGCAGGAGGGTCCAAATCCTCACAGACAACATGGTAGCCATGTACTACGTAAACAAGCAGGGCGGCACAGGCTCCAGGAAGTTGCTGGCGCTTTCCTTGACTCTTTGGGACTGGTGTGTGTCCCGGTCGGTATTGGTGTCGGCACTGCATCTCCTGGGCTCTCTAAATGGCAAGGTGGACTCCCTCAGCTGAACCCGGTCATCGTCGCACGAGTGGAGGGTGGCTCCAGAAGAACTCGTTCGCCTCTTCGATGAGTGGGGATGGCCAGAGGTCGATCTCTTTGCGTCTCCTGTGAATGCTCAACTTCCTCGATACGGTGCCCATCTCCCGCCGGACGCAGCCCCGGGGTGTCTCTGCGACGCATTTCTTCTGGACTAGTCGGAGGGTTTCCTCTATCTCTTCCCTCCCTTCCCTCTCATCTCCTGGGTGATCGAGAGAATCCAGATGTCCCAGGCCAACTGCATCTTGGTGGCTCCAGCATGGCCAAGGCAAGCTTGGTATCCGGCTCTTCTGCAGCTTTCTGGCGGTCAGTGTCGACGGTTCCATCCTCGGCAGGACCTGCTCTCGAGGGAAGAGGGTCAACTTCTCCACCCCGATCTGCCATCTTTCCACCTCACGGCATGGAGAATCCAGCCCTGAGGTCTCTCTGCCCAGCGTTGCAGTCCATTCTTACGGCCGGCCACAAGCCATCAACGGCGAGAACTTATGCTGCCTGCTTCACCCGGTTCCAGAACTTTCTCCGGTAAAGAGGGGATCGAGAGCTCCCACCCTCAATACCGACAGTCCTCGACTTCCTGCTCTCCTTGACCGAGCGTGGTTTTTCTCTGTCTTCACTGAAGTCGTATCTGGCAGCCATCTCCTGGCACGTTCAGCAGTGGGGACGAACATCCCTTTCCACGACACTTTGGTCAGGACATTCCTAAAAGGGTACAACAACTTGCATCCCCTGGTCCACCACCCGACTCCTGGCTGGAATCTCAACTTTGTGCTTTCCCGGCTGGTGTAACTGCCGTTTGAACCTTTAACGACAGTCGACCTTTGTCTGCTCTCCTGGAAGGTGGTGTTTCTGGTGGCAGTCACCACCTCCCGTCGTCCGTCTGAGCTGGCGGCGTTAAGGTGGACGACCCACACCTGCTTTTCCATGCGGACAGGGCGGTTCTCCGCATGGATATATCGTTTTTCCAAAGATTGTCTTCCCCTTTCATGTTAATGAGGACATTGTTCTCCCTTCCTTTTTTCAATCTCCGTCCACCCCGACGGAGAAGAGACTACACCTTCTCGATGTTCGAAGGGCGTTATTGTTTTATAGGGACAGAACGTCTCAATCCTGAAAGACTCAGAGACTCCTTATAGCTTATGCACCGGACAAGCTGGGCCTGCCAGTATCATCCTAGTGTTTATCTAACTGGATTGCTTCGACCATCAAACTGTGCTACCAGCTGGCCCGCTGTCAGCCGCCACCGGTCGTTTGGGCTTGATCGAACAGGGCTGTGGCTGCCTCGACCACCTTTTTGAGGGGGATCCCTTTGGACTCGATTTGCAAAGCGGCCATTTGGTCCAATTCTTTGACGTTTGTGTCTCATTACAGACTGGACACTAGGCATAGACGGGACACTAGGCATAGGACAGACACGGTGTTCGGTCGTGCAATTTTGGCCCCTTGTCCTCCCTAGCTCCCGGTACCAGGACTCTCGGTACCGAGAACAGACTCTCCTGAACTGAACCATATGTGGTTCTATGCGATCACTTGTTTGTACCCAGTTTCTCTTTCTGTCAAGGAAATATCCCATGTGTTAATGGGGGAAAGAAGTAACTATGATTCCTTGCCTGTTCCTATACATGCTGGGTATCCAAGTAATGTTTGTTCTTTAGTATGTGCCCAATGCCTTTTCGACTGAGGCATTGCGAATGTTTGTGATAATTCACATGTTTTTGAAACTGTGTTTGGCCTCGGTATCGGGAAGCTCCCCGATGCCGTGTTTCTTTGTTATAAAAGCTTTTTCGATTACCTCCATATGTATGTCGGTATGAACGTGTTTATGATGTATGGTAGGCAGCTGGGCCATGAATCGTTTTGCATTGCTATGCTTGGGACACTCTGTCCTTTACTTTGTGTAAGGTCTTGATACCACAATAAAGTTGTTTTGTCCTTCAAAGGAAGGGGTCGGTTTGTTCTTCCCGCCTCTGGGACCTTAGCTTGCTAGTCTCCACATGTGTGCATTCACAGAGACCACGAAGAAAATGGTAGGTTACATACCTGTGACCATCTTTCTTCTAGTGGTGCTCTGTGAATTCACACAAACCTGCCCAGCATCCCCTCTCCCCTCTGCCTTTCTCGCTGCCTTGCGGCATAGGAATTGCGTAGCGTATACGCGGGGCGCCTTTTATGGCCTGCCGGTGACTGGGCAGGGTTACCGCCAAAACTTGAAAAGTTTAAACTAGAGAAGTTTTCCGTTGGTGCCTGCGCAGGCGCAGTCACTCCACATGTGTGAATTCACAGAGCACCACTTGAAGAAAGATGGTCACAGGTATGTAATCTACCAATATCCCTACAGTTTAAAAATGTCTCTAAGTTTCAATATATGCAAATTAAGAAATATTTTAACAAGGACAAAAATGGATTTACTGAGAAGAAAGAATTTTGGAAAAGAAAACAATAACAAAAATGTATGATAAACTGCTTGGATGGGCTACAGAAACAGAAAAAATTAAAAACTGATCAGATGGGCAAGGAATATTGGTCGAACAATTAATTTAAGTGAGTGGGAACAAATTTGGACAAAACGTCTAAAATATACTTATGCTACTGATTAAAAGAAAATTGGCTAAAAATATTGCATCGGTGGTACATTACACCTAAAAAACTAGGGATGGTGTACAAAAATTCAGATAATAAATGCTAGAAATGTAAATCACAAGTAGGTTCATACATGGACCACCACATGTGAAAAAACAACAGAATATTGGAAAATGGTACACAATGAATGTAAAAAAAATGTTAAAAATTGATTTTCCAATTAAGCTGGAATTCTACCTTTTAGAAATGTTTGACTGACATACATTTAAAGATTCCAATACTGATACTTTTTTTGTAACGGCGGCTAGGATGACTTTTGCAAAATTATGGGAACTTCAACCAATCCCCTCTAAAATGCAATGGATAGACAAAACAATGGAAATTAAGGACATGGATAAATTGACATTCTTGTTAAAACAGAATAATGAAAATGGAATAAAAAGGATGGACTGGACAGTCTTTGAGGACTATATAAACAAGGACGATAAATAAGAAGACCAATGGCTGTACAATTGAGGGGAAATTTTATTTTATTAAGAATATATAGAAATAGAATGTTTTACGGGCACTAGGAAGAAGAATGGAAGTCAACATTTATTTTTTTTTACTTTTTAAGATATGTATACTTTTATATATATTCTCTTTTTTTCTTTTCCTCTTTTCCTTTTTCTCTCTTTTTCTTTCTTTTTTTAGTCTTAATATTGTATATATAATGTTCTTTTGTTTCATGTTATTTCTATGTAATCACTAATAAAAATATTAACCTGGAAAAAGAAAAATCAATTGAGAGATACAAGGGGCAGGGGCTCTTTACCGATGGCTCCTCAGCTTTTTAGAATCACCCCCCTCTCACGGTACACATGGCCCGTCATTAGTTTCCAGAAGACATTTATCCCCTTCTGCTTTGTAATTTTACTGGATCACCTGTTCTTTTGACTTCATTTTAATGTGTTTTTTTAAAAAATTCGTTGTGAGGCTCCTTGTGTGGTTTCTCTCACACCGCCAGATAACAGTGGGAGATAAATGTACTGAAAACAGTTCATTTCCCCCTTTCTCAATTACTCTGCTCTTGTATCTTCTTAAATACCCAATTTTTCTCAATAGATCTGTGTTTCTTTTGTTGCAGGAATGGAGGTCGTTTGGTTCGGTGCCCCTTCAGCCATCTCAGCAGAAGGACATCTTTGCTCACTATCTTTCTACCTACCGTTCGGTGAATATATTCAATATGGGAGTAAAATCCCTGCATGGTGGTTTTTCTCTTTAACAAAAATGTTTTGTCCTCTCCCGCCTTCTCCCATATTGCAAAACATACTTGTCTGTGAGTGTGTAATGCTCCTGATTTCTCTCATTTCTTTCTATGATGTGTCTTCAGGCCGGCCCAAAGTCCAACAGTAAAAGACTTTCGTCTCACCAGAGCTCTCATCATTCAAAAAGACAGAAAGGAAACAATGCCGAACTATCATCAGCTGACATGGAGATGGATTCAGGTATTCATTCCTATATTGTTAGTAGTAGTAGTAGTAGTAGTAGTGTTATCATTATCATTGCAAATCATTGTAATATTTATTTATATCCTATCTTCATAAGATTCATAAAATATATCAGGGGTTCTTAAACTTTTTCTGCTCATGACCCCTTTTGGCTCGATAAAGTTTTACATGACCTCGGGTATACAGGCTTATAAAATAGGCATAGAAATCAGACATTTATTAATAATATATCAGTATTTACAAGGCATGCTAGATAGGCGAATTTTCTCTTTTTGTGGAGTACAACTTTCTGCATAGCCCACTATAAACCTGTACATTGTTGTTAATAAACTTGTGTAATTGATTGCATTCAGAAACCTTTTACTGTTTCCAATTTTTTTGTGACCGCAACATTGAGCAGATGGGGGCTCCATTTGGGGTCGGGACACAGTTTAAGAAACAGTGAGATATATAATTTTATGTATTTACTAGCTGTCCCCTGCCACGCGTTGCTGTGGCCCAGTCTGGTGATCTGGAAATGAAGTAATGAGAATGTGTTGGTTTCTAATATATGTAATGTCTTTATGTTTGAGGGTAAACAGTATTTCTTGTTGTTTCTTTGCCAGTGTTGATGTGGAGATTGTCTGGTTTGCCTACTCTGGAACATGTAACATATCATTGTCCTTCTTTAGGGCTCCCTTTGAAATCTTTGATACTGCATCTGTCATATACATATATGTGTGTGTGTGAATGGCTGGGTGGCCTTTTGTCAGGAGGGCTTTGTTTTGTTGCCCTGGTGAAGGGAGCTGGACTGGATGGCCTTAAGGCAGCATTTCTCAACCTGGGAAGTCAATACACCAAGGGGGGGGGTCACCAGGGGGGTGTCAGAAGGGTCACCAAAGACCACCAGGAAACACAGTATTTCCTGTTGGTCATGGGGGTTTTGTGTGGGATGTTTGGCCCAATTCCATCGTTGGTGAGGTTTGGAATGCTCCTTGATTGTAGGTGAACTATAAATCCCAGTAACTACAACTCCCAAATGTCAAGGTCTATTTCCCCCAAACTCCATCTGTGTTCATATTTGGGCATATTGAATATTCATGCCAAATTTGGTCCAGATCCATCATTGTTTGAGTCCACAGTGCTCTCTGGATATAGGTGAACTACAACTCCCAAACTCAAGGTCAATGCCCTCCAAACCTTTCCAGTATTTTCTGTTGGTCATGGGAGTTCTGTGTGCCAAGTTTGGTTCAATTCCATCGTTGGTGGAGTTCAGAATGCTCTTTGATTGTAGGTGAACTATAAATCCCAGCAACTACAACTCCCAAATGACAAAATCATAATTTTTGAGTGATGGTCACTCCTTGTGTTATGAGACATTTTGTTGCCAAATTTGGTGTGATTTCGTTCATTGGTTCTTTTGTTTTTAAGGTACTCATTATGCACAGAGCATATATATATATATATATATATATATATATATATATATATATATATACACACACACACACACACACACACATACATACACACACACACACACACACACACATATAGATTGTGTCAGAAGCAAATTGGCAATACAGTTACAATGTATAAAAAAACACAAAGTTAAATACTTGGCATTGTGTTAGATTTCCTTTGACCAGAAGCTGGCCACTTGGAGTGCCTCTGGTGTTGCTATAAGGAGGTCCTCCATTGTGCATGTGGCGGAGCCCAGGCTGCATTGTAGTAGATGTTCTGTGGTTTGCTTTTCTCCACACTCGTATGTTGTGGACTCCACTTTGTATCCCCATTTCTTAAGATTGGCTCTGCATCTCATGGTGCCAGAGTGCAGCCTGTTCAGCACCTTCCAGGTCACCATTCTTCTGTGTGCCCAGGAGGGAGTTTCTTGATTTAAGGCGTTGGCTTGCTGGCTGATATCTGAACAGAGGATGGACCGGATATGTCAATGCCTTGGTCCTTTCACTGCAGGCTGCTATTTCCCAGCAGATAGCAGGTGGTACAATAATTTTTCCAGTGGTGTAGGGTGTAGACATCTGTGATAATATGGCATGTCTCATTAAGAGCCACATCCACTGGGCAAGCATACTCAGCAGCAGAGTAGCAAAGCGCAAGGGCAGATGTCTTCACTTTGTCTGGTTGTGATCCCCAGGTTGTGCCACTCAGCTTTCGTGTAATATTATTTCTAGCACCCACTTTTTGCTTGATATTCAAGCAGTGCTTCTTGTAAGTTAGAGCACAGTCCAGAGTAACTCCCAGGTATTTTGGTGTGCTGCAATGCTCCAGTGGGATTCTTTCCCAGGTCATCCTCAGAGCTCGAGATGCTTGTCTGTTCTTAAGGTGAAAAGCACATATCTGCATTTTAGATGGATTAGAAATCTTCTGGTTTTCCCTGTAATAGGCAGTAAGAGCACCTAAAGCTTCAGAGAGCTTCTGTTCAACCATTTTAAAGCTCCCTGCTTGAGTGGTGATGGCACGATTGTCAGCATAGATGAAACTTTCTGTCCCTTCTGGCAGTGGCTGATCATTTGTGTAAATGTTAAACATTTATTTATTTGTTTGTGTATTTAGCAGTTTTGTATACCGGTCTTCTCACCTCCGTTCGAGGGACTCAGGCCAGTTTCCAACATCAATATTACAGACAGTCATTAAAACATCATATTCTAAATCACACTAAAACATTAAAATAGCAAAATACAATAATATAATTACAGTGGTCAGTCGTCATCAAAAATCATTATTCGTCGTCATCCATCCATATCACAGGATCATGGCTCATTCGTCGAATGCCAATCCCCAAAGCCAAGTTTTCACCTGTTTCCTGAACGTTAAGATAGAAGGGGCAGTTCTGATCTCCAGTGGAAGGGAGTTCCAGAGTCGAGGGGCCACCACCGAGAAGGCCCTGTCTCTCGTCCCCACCAGCCGCGCCTGTGAGGCCGGTGGGATCGAGAGCAGGGCCCCTCCAGACGATCTTAGCAATCTTGATGGTTCATAGGGGAGGATACATTCGGACAGGTAAATTGGGCCGGAGTCGTTTAGGGCTTTATAGGTTAAGACCAGCACTTTGAATTGTGCTTGGAAGCTGACTGGCAGCCAGTGGAGCTGGCGCAACAGAGGAGTAGTATGCTCCCTGTACCCCGCTCCGTTAGTAGTCTGGCTGCCGCATGTTGGACTAATTGAAGCTTCCGGGCAGTCTTCAGAGGCAACTCCACGTAGAGAGTGTTGCAGTAATCTAAACGGGATGTAACCAAAGCATGGACCACCGTGGCCAAGTCAGACTTCCCAAGGAACGGGTGCAGCTGGCGCACAAGTTTTAATTGTGCAAAAGTTCCCCTGACCACCGCTGAAACCTGGGCTCCAGGCTCAGCGATGAGTCCAGGATCACTCCCAAGCTGCGAACCTGTGCCTTCAGGGGGAGTGTGACCCCGTCAAGCACAGGCTGTATCCCTATGCGCTGTTCGGCCTTTCGACTGACCAGGAGTACCTCTGTCTTGTCTGGATTTAGTTTCAATCTGTTGTCCCTCATCCAGTCCGTTACAGCGGCCAAGCACCGGTTCAGGACTTGAATAGCCTCCTTAGTAGTAGGTGGGAAGGAGTAACAGAGTTGGACATCATCTGCGTACAGATGACATTGCACCCCGAAACTCCAGATGATCTCTCCCAACGGCTTCATGTAAATGTTAAATAACATAGGGGACAGTATTGAACCCTGCGGGACTCCACAGTACAATGGCCGTGGGGTCAAGCAGGAGTCCCCTAGCGACACCTTCTGGGATCGCCCCACGAGAAAGGACTGGAGCCACTGCAAAGCAGTACCCCCAAGGCCCATTCCCGCGAGGCGTCCCAGAAGGATACCATGGTCGACGGTATCGAAGGTCGATAAGAGGTCCAGCAGAACCAACAGGGACACACTCCCCCTGTTCAGTTCCCGGCGAAGATCATCCACTAAGGCGACCAAGGCTGTCTCGGTACCATGCCCCGGCCTAAAGCCAGACTGCGCCGGATCTAGATAATCCGTGTCTACCAGGAACTCCTGGAGTTGCGAGGCCACCACACGTTCCAGGACTTTGCCCAAATAGGGGAGATTGATGGAGCAAGCACGCTCCTCTGAGGCAGGCCATTCTTCTGTCCTCGCCATCTGCTTCTCTGATCCTGGAACTCAACAAAAAAGCTCCTGTTTTGTAGCAATTTCCATATATATATATATATATATATATATATATATATATCTAATAACATATAAGTTATAAAAATAGGTATACAAATCAATCTCTAGAGGGGTGGAAGATGGGGGTTTTCAAAATGTCAGTACATCTTATTTAATAACAGCTTGATATTAGCCCACATGAGTTAAACTCAATACCCGTGGACTGAATGCAACCCACCATGTCATTTTATGTGGCCCTCCAGATGCTGGACTTCAAGTCCTGTACTCATCATTAGACATGGCTAAAGCTGATGGGAGTTGGGATGCAGTAACATCTGGAAGGTTCCAGCTTTTTCTGTTTAATCAGGAGAGAGGGGTTTGATATACAAGTCTTGTGGCTAAAATGCTCTTTAACTTTTCCCAACCTCAGAGCCATAAGGGCTGTTGGGTTGCAATTCCCATTATCCCCAGATAATCAAAAAGGGTGGGAGATTTCATTCAGTAACATCTGGAGACCCAAATTGGGTCACCACTAAAGAACACTGACTGCTATGTGTGTGTGTGTGTGTGTGTGTGTATGTATATATAGTTGGTCCTCTGTATCCATGGATGTGCCATCCATGGATTCAGTGGCCCTTTGAAGGCAATCATGAGGTTATGTGGCCCTCCATGAAAATGAGTTTCATACCCCTGTCCTAACCATTGAACATGTAAGAATCATAATCATCCTCTAATAAAAAAGTTCTAGTGGTTGAAGTAGAACAGCTCCAGGTAGGAATACTGGCAGGACCATTATTAAAAAGTGCTCTTTCTTTTCATTCCAGACTTTGAAATGGTGCAGAATTCTCCCAATTATGATGGCTTCCATTTCCAACCTCCCTTGCCTCCAGGGTCTCCATTGAATGCCACTCCTCCGCCGCTGCCGCGAGGTACCCCTCCTGCCACGCCGCCCAACTTTACCCCTCCTCAGCCTCCAATATCAACATCTTCAGTGCTTCCCCGCAATGCTTCTGCTTTGGCAACAGCCAACAATTCTGCTGCCCTGAGAACAGAGGGCTCTGCCATGGATGAAGACACTCTGACGCTGGAAGAGCTGGAAGAGCAGCAGCGCCTCATTTGGGCCGCCCTGGAGCAGGCTGATGGAGCCAACAGTGACTCTGACCTTCCAGGGGGGACACCTTTAACAGGCAACTCGGTGGCATCATCCCCCTTGAGGGCTGAGCCTGAGATTCTTTTGGAAGAAGTAACACCCAAGAATGTGGAAGTATTGGAACCAGAGCTCTCGGACAACACAGAGCTGAAACTGAAAGCAGAAGAATCTGAGAATAAGGCAATGGTTATTGAGAAGTTGATTGATTTAACAGAAGAGCATGGCAATAACAAGCCAATCTCAGCTGAGAAACTGGTTGATTTAACCGAAGAGGAAGAGCTTGATTGCGTGGATTCTGAAAAGACGGCTGAGAACTGCCTCTCCACTTCCGTGAATGAAGTAAACCATGAGAAGGGTGGTGGTGATCCTCCTATTGCTCCCGGTGCTGATGTGGCCCTGAAAATCACCAGCCCCATCCCTGACATGAGCAAGTTTGCAGCAGGGATAACACCTTTTGAATTCGAGAACATGGCGGAGTCCACTGGGATTTATCTCCGAATAAGAAGCGTGCTAAAGAATTCCCCGCGGAACCAGCAAAAGAATAAGAAGTCTTCCCTTTAATTACCTGGCTCTTGCAGCACAGATTTACCCAAAAAGAAGCCCATTTCTCAATTGGCTTGGGAAACTGTTTTGTAGATGCTTACATTTTAAAAAGAACACAACATTGTTAAGGGCAGACAAGTCAAAAGCAGTTACTTTGTTCTTCCTCAAATTGTGTGGTGTTATTTTTCGATGTATAGGGCTTCCATTTTGACCTTCGAGCAACTGACGGCATCAGGACAAACATTTCCACAACTATAAGAAAGAGCTTCTTATCGCATTTCCTTCCATCCTCTGAAATGGTTCCCCCAATCGCAGTTGATCTTCCTGGCTGTGTTTTGATTTTGTGAATTTGCAGCAGCGGAAAATGGAGGCCATTGCTCTGTGAACGTAAAACCCTGTGCTTTCCATCGTGATTGGTTCTTCCCTTAAATAAGTTCGCTGTTGGTAGTTTTTAAAAAGCTATTAACTTTTTAACATGTTTTCCCTTCCAACTGGAAAAAAAGAAAATTCCAGTGGGAATCATCAGGGATTATTTAGCATTTGTGGGTACCCTTTTGAGGAGTTTCATAAGTAATTTATGTGGGTCTGTCTTTTTAGTGCCACTTCTGCTTTTTTTTTTTCTTGGTAAAGTTGTCATACAGTTGAACTTCCTGTACATACGTTTTCATGCTTGTGTACAGTGGTTTAATAAACATGATTTTTTTTTGGGGGGGGGGGGGGGGGAATTTTTTCGCTTATGTAAGCTTTGGCGTCAGCACTAGAAATCCTGCTGTTAGAAAATCAAGTTTGGGAAGCCTTTTGTAGTTAAACATTATACTGTTCTGTGGGATTTTTCCCTCTTCCTGTTTTTTTTTTTAATGTGGGTGTTAAAGGAAACCTTAATGTAGCTATGGCTTTTCCTGCATGGCAGGGGATTGGACTAGATGGCCTATGTGGTCTCTTCCTACTCTATGATTCTATGGCCAGGAAAGTTTCCAGCATTGTCATTAGGAGACATATGCCTGTAAATAACGCAAACCAATGATACGCTCTTGCCTTCTGTTCCATGCATACGTAAGGCAAGAAAGGGTAACTCGTTGACTTTTATATCCTCTGTTTCTTTTAACCATAGAAATCAAGTGGCATATTTATCTCTTATCCACTCACCAGACCCCCTGTCTTTTGCCTTCCACAAGGGGTCTGCATTATTTTCTTCCAGCAAATGTGTCTCAGAGTTGGCTTCCAATTATCATGATCTTTCCTCTACCTGTTGTTCTATTTCTCATGCAAATTGGGCATCTGGATGACACCTGGATGTGGTCCATGTTTTGAAAAATACTTTACACTGGTTGTTTTCATATATAGATCTTAAGGTGGGAAAACCCAACATTATTAGGACATTCCACTCAGTTATATGAATGTGTAAGGTTGTAATGTGTAGCGCTCTGAAAGGATCAGTCCACATCACTAGTCTTAGATATAGCACATTAGATGTTGGGAAAATTGGATGAGCATTTGAAGTTGAAAAAAAGTCTTAGAACTATTCAGAGAGAACTAGTGTCAGGACAGATGTTCGTTCTATGTGATGCTTTCGTGTGTCTTTGAAACAATCCTTCCCAGCGACACTCAAGTAACACACAATGAATTTGCTTTTTAAGTGCTATAACAAGTGCTGGGTGTATATTGCTTAAAAATTTGTCCAAACACCTATTGTGATATTTTGAACCCTCTCGTGATTTAATAGGACATTAAGTAAGAACGTAACATGCCTCTTTGGTAATCTAGCTATGTTAGGAATGAGGGACTCTTGACTTGCCAGATGTTTGGAGAAGGCCCAGTCAATGTGGTTGAAAGGAAGCGTTCGAGCTGTGGTTCAAAACATCTGGAGGAGCCAAAGGTTTAAGGATCCTTGATGTGAACAGTGTGGTGTTTTGTTTCCAGCAAACAACTTTTTGGTTGGACAGGGGATGATGAAAAAACCAGTTTCCCCTATGTTTTTTTAAAATCCTGGAATATGTTGTCTTTGTACGCAGAAGTTGTATCGCCATCTCTCTTGGCGGAATAAGAATGTTTGAAAATTTAGTTCCTTGTCTAACTCTTCGGGTGGGTTGCATTCAATCTATGTGTACATATTTGAGGTTTCACAAAAAAAATTAGCAGTGGGGCTGAACCACACAAGCCTACAGGATTGTGTGGCTTATTAGAGAAAGGGTGGAGCAGCTAAACATTGTTGAAACGTGTCCATGCTCTTGACTATTTTGGATGTGATCTGTGGAGTGCACATGCTGTACCGCCTCAACTGGGCTTGGTCTGGGTTTCTAAAATTTGGCCTAAATAGGAACTGCCAGGGCTTGGGAGATTGCAAGGGAGGATTGCCCACAAAAAGGAAGTAGGTTGCTGATACTGAGATGTGGGGCATATTTCACTGTTTTTTTTTTATTTTGATGGTGCATAGCTGCTGTTCTGTCAGAGTGATGCTGAATATGACTGTTAAGAGAGGATCAAAGTCAACCTTGGAATGAAGCAAAACTCTGCCATGATTAGAGTGCCACAAGGAACCCTTGTCTTATTTTGTATATCTTTGTGAGTGAGAGAGAGAATGTGGCAGATATGGTTGGCAAATCTGAACCTGTTTAACTTTCCCATTTGCTGCTGTATTCTTTCAGATTGTTTATGACTTAGGGATACCTTAAGTCGAAAGCAACCTGAAATAATACAACAGTAAATGGGCTTTTCTTGTTTAGAAAAGCTGTTGCCTCTGCCTCCTTTTGAGAAAGTGTGACTTGCTCAGTGTCCTTCAGTAGGTTTCCATTCCTAACTCTGGTCTCCAGAGTCCAGTACTCAAAATACAACATTGCACTGGCTCTCTTAAACCTCCTTTACGGCAGTGTTAAAAGTACAACATAATCCTCTTCTTCCTCTTTCACCACCATCTACTTTCTTAGGAGATTCTCTTTTAAAAAATATATTCATTAACGTACTCCAGATTTGCAGGAAATACTGCTTTCGCTGGAAAATTAATTAAGATGTAGACTCTCAACTGATGGTTTGGGTTTTTTGCACCAGGGACTGCCAGTCTCCAGCTACACTTGATCTCTTTCAGACAGATTTCCCATTCCTGACTTCCTACATTTTTAACTGGAGATGCCATGGCGCAGGATTTCTACAGGTTATTTCATTATTGATAGAAGGCCGCAAAAATGTTAATAGCAATTGTGTGTGTCGCTCAATGGATCAATGGAATGTGTGCTAGTAATCCCTTTGTTTCTTCCACGCCTACACCATTATATCTTCCAAAAGAAAGGTAACCTTTTGCTGCATATATCCAGATGTGGGTACAGTCGTTGCCTCTTGATTTGGTGCTCTTTCCAGATAAGCTTCCCTGATATATTTCACATTTGTTCAGTTTCAGGTCTTTTTCGGAGTCTTGGTTTTAAAACGCACTCTATGACCATTAGCTTGGGAGTTTTTTTATTGCCAGCTTCATTAAAATTATGATTTTCTTATCCTTGACTGTGTCTGTGGGTGTGTTCTGTGAGAACTAAGGCAAGATTATTAAAAGAAGTGAGCTACAATGCTTGATGTGAATGAGAGTGAGATGAGCCAGCCTTGACGTTTTCTCCACTCGTCGACGGTTCATTCCACGCTGAGAATGTGAGTAGGAAGTGCCTTTTCAGGAGCGGCCCCTCAGTTGTGGAAACTGTCAGTGATATCTGTCAGCGCTTATTTCAGGATTTCAAACAGACCCTCAATTGTTCACCTTTGTGGGCATAGTCTATATCTTGTGCTTATTTGGTTCAAAGTGTTGGGTTTTCCTTTACCATTGTTCAGTGTTTTGTGGTTTTAACCTTTATATGCTGCTTTAGCGATGGTTAGTCTGCAAGGCAGCTTATCAATCTTTTAAATAAAACAAAAAAGTGAGTGGCAAAGATTCCTGCTTATCAGAATCACTTGTTGGGTCTGAGCTGTGCTGAAAATAAAAGGAATTTCATCCTTTCTAATCGGAGTCAGTTGCAACTGGGTTTAGCTAGATTGAAGGAGTTGCTTTCGTTTCTAAGCACTGTAGTTTCCTTTGTTTTAGATGCTTACTTTCCATCTTAATATATAAAAATCAATAAAAGCAGAAGTAAACTGGCCTTGATGTTTCCTGCTATTGAAATGAGTTGGAATTAAAATTTGACATTACTAATTTGTCTCATTGGTTTCAGTGGGACATTGTTAACTTAGCCTGGGTCCCACTCCTTCGAAAAGCAAATTAAATTCAAGGTTAAAAAAAATAATGTAAACCATATAAAATAATAAAATGTGGCCATTTTGGCAAGAAGTTAAATAGGATCAAGCAAAAAGTAGACCAGGAGGTTAAAAAAAGAGTCACTACACATTAAAAAAACAAACAAACAAGGAATGTGCACACACAACTGCAGACCTTGGGCCTTGTCCACTGGCTTTTTTTGGAGGTCTTAAAAGTACCTGATGGTGTGCCAGGTAAGCTTTGCTGAAGAAAACATTTCAGAGGCAGGGTGGCACCAACCAGAAAGGCCTCTCTGTTCCCAGTTTCCTGCCTCATGTTTGAAGTTAGGTTGCTGAACTACAAAACTCTTACATCTTTCTTTGGCTGAGCATATGTATATGATTTGTCCTAGCATTCTTAGCAGGGCCATGTTAATTGGTTGCAGCACAAAAAAATGTGAAGGAATCCCAGAGGGGCTCTGAAATGGAGAAAAAGACATTTCTAGCCTAAGCTCACCTAGATTCCAGTCCACTTCATCAGGTGAAGGTTTCCTTTAGACCACTCAGAGCCTGTAAGTGTTTGTCCTTCCTAAACACACACACATTGCACAGATTCATGCACTCTCTTCAGGCCGTTTTGGGATTGAAAGCATTACTTGGTCTCGTTGCCACAAGAGACTCCGCTTGTGCTGCATGTCGGGGAACAAAGAGCTTGCCTGTGTGGGGCTGTCAATGTAGCAGCACTTCTCACAAGTACTGCATTGACTAGGAGTGAAAGGAAACATCTGTTGAGGATCGCAGAATGTCATTCTCTCCTGGTTGGGAAAGCCAGCCCCGCTGGCGTACTGACAGCCAGGCGGATGTAGCCCATCTTGAATAAGAGATTGAGATAAAAGTGCTTGCTGCATCTTTGTTTTCATAAGTGCAATTACTACAGAGTTGGACCCATTGTAACAGCTTGCCAGTCTGCTTCTTGGGGCGATGTGCTTGTGGTGCATACTGTCCTTATGTGCTCTTTAAATGTGAGCCGAGCAGTGGCCTGCTTTACAGGAGAGGTACTGAAGCAGAAGCAATCCAGCTAAACTGCAGTAGATGCTTAGGAGAAAAACAAACAATTCAATTTCATTCTGATGCTGCTCATGGGGGTTTTTTTCACCTCAAAAGAGCTGAGTGAGAATCATGTGGTCCTCCAGATGTCATTTGCCTACAAGTCCTGACCACCCTCCCAGTAGGACCGATGGTGAGGTATGCTGGGAGGTGCAGTCCAACAACATCTGAAAGGCTGTATGATTCCCATCCCTGTCAGCGACAGAGCAGCTCGCAAGGAGTAATGCTTATGCCTAGCCAGTGTGTGTCACCCATTGGATCCTGGTCTCAAAGTTGTCGACTGCTTTATTAGAGCAGGACATAGCTAATGAGGAGAAGCAAAGCCTGCAAACAATTCCAGGATTATTACTGATGGCTCCAGGAGGATTAAATTCTTTAAATGCTTTAATCACCT